GGGGGGGGGGGATCAAAAGAATCATAAAAATTTTTAACATGTGAAAATCATGTGCAATTTAAATTTCAGTGTCACATAAAAAAGCAAAGTTTTATTAGAACACATACATGCCTATTCATTGCATATGGCCTTATGACTGCTGCTTTGACGCTACAAGAATACCATTGAGATCTTGAGATAAAGACTGAATGGCTAGCAAAGCTCAGAATATTTATTGTCTGGCCCTGTACTGAAAACAGTTGTGAGCCCTTGCTCTAAACTTTAAAGGACACAAAAAGAGAGAGAGAGAGCGAGAAAGAAAGAACAGAGAAAAGGACAAGAAGTGGGGGAAGGTGGAAGAAGACAGACACACTTGCTGATTTCAAAACTTGCTAAAGCCATAGGAATCAGGACAGTGTGGTACTGTCCTAAGCACAGACATACAGACCTACGGAATAGAACTGAGAATCCATCATACATACAGAGAACAGACTGATGGTTGCCAGAGGGGGGTTAGGGGACTCGGTAAAAAAGGTGAAGGGATTGAGAAATACAGATTGGTAGTTACAGAAAAGTCACAGAGATGTAAAGTAGAGCATAATAAATACAGACGATAATATTGTAATAACTATGTACGGTGCCAGGTGGGTACCGGAAGTATTGGGGGGGGGGATGCTTTGTGAAATGTATGATTGTCTAACCACTATGCTGTACACCTGAAACTAATACAAAATAATACTGAATGTAAACTATAATTGAAAAAAAATTTTAAGTAAAAATAAAAGAATCGAGAGCCAAGAAATAAACCCATTCATCTATGCTAAATTGATTTTTGACAAGTGTCAAGACCATTCAATGGAGGAAAGAATAGTCTTTTTAAAAAATGGTGCTGATACAACTGAATCCACAAATATAAGAATGAGGTTGAATCCTTTCCTCATACAATATACAAAAATTAAGTCAAAAAGGAACAAAAAGACCTAAATGTAAGAGCTAAAACAATATATATAAGACTCTTAGAAAAGTAAGATAGGCCTAAATCTTTGTGCCCTTGGATTAGACAAAGGGTTCTTAGTTATCATACCAAAAGCAAAAAGAACAAAAGAAAAAAAAATAAACAAATATGCTGGACTTCATAAATATTAAAAAGTCTTGTGCTTCAAAGGACCCCATCAACAAAGTTAAAAGACAACCAGAGAATAGAGAAAATATTTGCAAATTGTATCTGATAAGGACCTTATTTCCAGAATATAGAGAGAACTACAACTCAAAAATTAAATTAAATTCAAAAATTAGAAATGGGCAAAGGATTTGAACAGACATTCCTCCAGAGATGATATATAAATAGCCAATGAGCACATGAAAAAATACTCAGTATCATTAGCCGTTAGGGAAATGAAAATCAAAACCACATGAAATACTACTTCATACTACTAGGATAGCCATCTTCAACAAAACTGGTGTAGGAACCAGCAATTACACTCCCATATGTATTCCCAAGAGACTTGAAAAGAAATACCCACACAAAACTTGTACATGAATACTCATGGCAGCATTATTCATAACAGCCAAAAAGTAGAAATAAACCAAATGCCCATCAATGGATGAGTGGATAAACAAAATGCGGTCCATCCACATAATGGAATATTATTCAGCCCTAAAGAGGATTGAAGCACGGACACCTGCTGCAACCTGATGAACCTTAATCACATGTGAAGTGAAAGAAGCCAGATAGAAAAGGCACGTATTGTGTGACTGTACGATTCCCCTTACATGAAAGGTCACGAAAAGGCAACCTTCTAGAGAACCCGCAGAGAAAGAAACTTGATTCCTGGCAAATGCAGATCGACAACTAATAGACACACGGTTTCTTTTTAGGTGAGGAAAATGTTCTGGGATTAGGTAGTGGTTGGTGATGGTTTTGCACAATCTTATGAATCCACTAAAGAGTAACTGCACTGTATGCTTTAAAAGGGTAAATTTTATTATATGTGAATTACATCTCAATTTTTTTTAAAGTGAGAGAAGCAAAATGGTCAGCGGGAAGAGGCGGTAACAGCTGCTGGCCCCTGCTCTCTGCCGTGTTCCGACGTAGACCCTAATGACATCAGCTCATTTCGCCTCAAAACAATTGGGTGAGGTGATGGCATAGCCATCTTGGCCATGAGTCTCTGAGAGGCAAGGCTGCAGGGCCATGAGACCCCAGGAGGCAGAGGGGATGTTGGCCCATGCCCACTGCACCCACACAAGCGGGCTGTGCCAGCCAGCCAGTGGCCTGTCCCCAGTGCTCTTGGCAGCCTGCCTGCTGACATGGGGAGAGACCAGGAAGCCAGGACCAGGTGTCTTGGAGCGCCTACTGTGCACTAGCCACCTCAGGGCTCTTGCCCCCTTGCGGTGGTGAAGGTGCATCACTGCTGCTGTGTCAAAGGGGGAAACTGAGGCTCAGAGAGGTAAAGTAACTGCACTCCTTTCACATATTCAGAGATGTGGCCAAGGCCTAACCTTCAAGTTCACAGACAAAGGAAGGTAGGCCCAGAGCAGTGAAAGGGCACAGCCAAGGTCACCCAGGCAGAAGGCTCCCTGGGGTGACGAACACGTCACTCCAGGCCTGTGGCTCACCTGAGACGCGCCAGATAGAACTGGAGCTCAGAGAGGCCCACCCTGCCATCTGCATCCTGAGCCAGGCGGCACCTGAGCAGTCGGGGATGCAAACGCCTGTCTGAGCAACACTGGCACCGTCCTGAAATGGCATCTGGTGGGAGGAAGGCAGCAGGTGCTCGCTCCCCACTCCACCGGCGGCAGCACACCTTCCACATGGAGGTGGCGCGCATCGCGCTTACGCCAAGCTGTCTCATCTCCTTGTACTAAAAATGGTGCCGTGTGTGTTCCTGCCTTCCTTCCTTCCCTCTCTCCAAATAGAAATTGTCTGTGAGCTCCTAACCTGCTGCCTCCAGAGCACAGCCTGGGTCCAAGCAGGGGATGTGGCCCTCACCTGTGCCGGTGCCACTCACTGAGGGGCTGGAGCAGGGCGGGGCAGCACACCGGGGCTTTCCCAGAAAACAGCCTTAACCCTCTGAAAAACCAACCCTGAGAGATGGCTGTGACTCAGCATAAAACTCCTGGGTCATGCATGGCCCCTGACTGAGCTCATGGACCCTCTTCTCACAGCTGCTGTGAGCAAGGGGGGTCTGAAACCCAGAAACTGGCTCAGGGGCACTGAGCAGAGTGTCCTCAATGCGCAGTGGCCATCTCCTGCACGGAGCTCCAGGATCAGGTGGCCCCCCCTGCCACCATCCCAGCCAGGGCCTCCGGGAGCCGAGGGAAGGAAACCCACAGCCGAGGACCCAGGCAGTGCTGAGTGGAGCCCCTGGAGGAACTGAGTTCATCAGGGGGGTAATATGTGCGTAAACCAGTGCTTAAACTGTGTCCTAAATGGTTCCACAGGTGTTCATGGGAGAACCCATTCTTACAGGGGGTGTTTCTGGCTGGTCCTCCTGCAGCAAGTCTTCCTAATTTTCTTGACCAGGTCAATTACTTGACCACCTTGCGCTCCTCAGTTTAATAATGG